AATGGAATATATCAATAATCCTTTTTTAGAGAAGTTAACTTAATTTAAGTGAAACATTTAAAATTTGGTTGCGAGAGGTGTTGAAATTTATCATAATTGTTCTAGAATGAATATTTTGATAAAAAAAGTATTTTTCAATGGAGTTTTAAAAAAAAAAAAGGAGCAAGAGGTAAAACTTAAGAAGCATTTCAAATACAAAAATATTTTAAATTGTTTACACCCAATCTTGTTGTAGTATTTTATATTTAAAAAATGAATGAAGATACACTAACACATCCAAGAAGGGTTTTTAAATAAAGGACCCGGTTTCTATTCAGCCCCGGCATATGAAATGCGAGCCTATTAATAAATCTATTTTTTATATGGATTTTTAGACTTAATTTTTAAGGACATGTAATCTCTAACATAGAGATCATGAATATAAAAAAAATAAGTAAATTTTAAAAGTTAGAAATAATAATTCTAGTAAGAAAACATTGGGCCGTTAGTTTCTATTGTTTTTAGATGAGATACCTACTTGCATCCATCTTTAAGATGGATGCTTTGCACTTTTTGGACAGCATATGTAGTCATCAAGACGTTACATTACAACGCACCACGATCCTGGCCACCAAGCCTTGACCCCGTTCTTTCTTGTAGTGTGCTCTTGCAGTATTACCTAATATATTTAGTCCTTCAAATAAGACAACATTTCAATTTTATTTGAAAGTAATCATCACGAGATTACTACAAATTTTTTTTTTTTTGACAAAATATAATATTTTACTTGAGGGGGCGCAAGTCTAAAAAAGTGAGGGCAAAAAATGGTAATGTCATCTCATTAAATGCACAATACTATTGGTCTACTTTAGAAACACTCAACAATTATGTTTGAAATGGAAATATTATAGTTTTATTTTAAAAAAATTTATTTTATTTGAGGGGTGTTGTCCTCCACAGGCACACACTATCCGTGTTTTGAACTGGGCTATAAAACTCGACCTTAAAGTTCCAAATCCGCTCCTTTAATCTTTTAGAGTGAAGGATGCATTCAAATATGAAAATTCTAAACCCTTCTCTTACCAATAAAAAAATAGCGTAGTTCGGAATTTGAAGTTCTGCATATAAATATTTTGAAATAAATAAAAAATAACAAAAGGTCGCATAAAAATAAAAGATGAAATATTGCTGGTATTTTAGCTCCTCAAACTATAGCAATATTTTCCTTATCCTATTGTAAAACAGCATGGAATATAATTTTGAAATCTAATTTTAAAACCTACAATGCGACCTTTTTCCCAAAATTAGGAAGACTAGGATATTTTATGGTCAAAATTTGCGGTGAAGGGCAAAACACCGTAAATTTATGAAAGTAATATAAAGTTGAGCCATGATTCCCTAGTAAATATGGTGGGCTAATGGGTGACATGACATTTTCCCAGTATCATGGTATCATATTACGTATAGAGGGCCCACAGCGACCAAACTCATTTTTCCACAAAAGATTGAGAAAATGACCATAATTATCCCTTCTTGCCCTAAAAATTTATGGTGCCGTTTGTATAGAGCCTAAACTTTAAACAATCAAAAGTATGCTTTAAACAATCAAAAGTAAAGTGCATATTCAAATAGTATCGATAAAAGTCGTTTTAATATTGAAAAACTTTGTGAGAGCCTTAAAATATTTTTTATCTTTAATTATAAAGTTTAAAAATAATACAGATTGAGCAGTTCTATAAAAATTAAAAAATCTTGAAAATTGACAATTCAAAAATATGTTACAAGATGCACTATTTTCAAAACTTGAAATCCGTTTTTTTCTCATGTCAATGCATCTTGATGTTGAGATGATCAATGTAACATTTATGTATGTAAAGGCACGCAGAGGTGCTATGTAAGGTAGGAAGCACTACATAGACGTCTGCCCTAAAAAATAGGATCTATACAAGGAAAAACACTGGCCATTCCTTGGTTATTAGGAGCATCCCGAAAACATTCGGATCGAACAATGGCTTTCAAATTAAGTTTCGAATTATTGAATACTGTCAAAGGGAGTGGCGATCTGGGGCCAGTGCCAACCTTGTTCAGTCCGGTCCTATGGGGACAAGAGCCAGGCTAGGGCCAAGGCTGGCCCGGCTTAAGTTCAAGCGGTTGCCACCCTTAGGGATTGTGTTGAGTATGTAATCCTTTCTAGAGGGGAAAATGACATCGACCAAGGGAATGGCGGGGGCCATGCTTTATGTTGCAGGGTTTGCATTTCCTATCGGACGGTCCAGGTCAATCCCCTTCTTGAATTGAAGGTCTAGATGTGCCAAGAGTCGAGCTCTTTTGATCTTTTCCCTTTCTTTAAAAGTATCGAGCAATTATGCTTGTTTTTATTATAATTTGTTTCGGAAAAGGAAATGTAGTTTGGGGATTTTGATTTGGAAGAAGTTTATATAAGGCCTAGGTTTTATAAAAATCAAATAAAGCTTCACCTCCAATCTTCTTTTGAAAATAAATCAATTTTTAACACAGAAAATAAATTTTAAAATAAAAAATCGTATTGATCTTGTGGCTTTGTACACTTATTTTTAGGACAAAATAGACAATCTAGATAATTTGTTAAAATTTATACTGTCTTTTAGAGTTTGAAATCTTAATTTTTTTAACAACTATAATGTTGATCGATGTAAAGGTCTTTCAACACTCAATATACAATTTCTGATGAGTTATTAGCTAAGGCTTTACTTATTCAGATAGGGTTGCAGCCCTATCAAACTATTTTCCTTTTGATTTTTGGGAATTTATTAGTTATACGCAATGCTGTCAAATTCGCTTCGCTTGGGCCGAAGAGGCCGAAGCCTTCGGATTTTAGGCAGAAACTGAAGTGAAGAGAAGCCTGGGGCTGCTGTTTCGGTCAGATTGGGTTTGCTTCTGATTTGCTTTGGTCGAAGCTTCGGGATGCTTTAGTCAGAAAAGAAATACCTATATAAAAGTATTTTTTAAAAAAAATTTGTTTAATTTTTTAATTTTTAATTTTTCATTATTTTTATATATTATATATAAATATGTAGTTCATTTATATTAAATTAAAAAAAAATCCAAAGTCTTTCTACGAATTGGCCGATTAGCACCAAATTGATTCATTTTTATCACCAAACTAAAAAAGACTCCAAAGTGAATCTAACAACATTGGTCATACGAGTTATGTCTTAGATTTTCTTGGATATGATAGCTTTCATTTTTCCATTTTGGCTACTCATTTTCTTTTCCCCTTTTTTTATCCTTTAAAATTTGAAATGTAAGATATAGATTGAAATGTAAGATATAGATTGGCATTTAGGAAATTGAGAAATTGAGAAATTGAGAAAAGAAAGATGGGAAAGGTTTCTATACTTCTCCAACAGTATAGAAGATCTATGCTTCCCCTACCATCCAACCGTCCAATTTTGATCAAGAGAGCCACTCATCATTTGATCTTACATCCGACGTCTCAAAGTATTTTATTTTTAGGTTTTTTTTTATACAAATTGTATCAATATGAAATTTCGTACGTACCATCTTCTCATTGGGGCGCACTTATGAAAAATATTTAAAATATTTTTTTGATTAAATATAAGGACCAAATACCTTTTAAAACTTTCAAAGGTATTTTGGTCATTTTATTTTATTGGAAATAGTTTTTTATATTTTTTGTTAGTGCGAGTTTAATATAGGACTGTACAAAATTTGATGTCAAAATAGTTTATAGAAAAAAATTAAAAATAAAATAGTGTAGAGATGTGACATTGTAATTGGGACAATCTTAGTCCCTCCATTCAAAATGGACGGTGGGACAAGAGAAAGTATATAAATTTTATGCTGTAAAGGAAGCATAAAAAGGTAAGAATTACACTAATGAATTATGTAGGGCTTTAAAATGTAGATCAGCCGTTTGGTTTGATCCTCCACTGAACCGGTCTAGATTGGTTGGCATGGTTGATCCGTTAAAAAATTGAAGATGAAAAATAAGATGGCATGGAACGTTTCGCCCATCTATAACTTGCATGCTTGTTTGATGATTTAAATCATCGAACAATTTATAAAGAGTAAGACCGATTCCTAATTCTAAGTTATATAATCCAATCCAGCCAAGCAATTCCTGATCCCAATGGAGGATTCTTAAAACCTTGATTATAATCCGGTGCGATTTGTACAGAGCCTAGGCTCTAAACAATCAAATTAGAGCCAACCTTCAAATAGTGTTGAGAAATGTGGTTTCCATATTGAAAATCAATGTGATAGAAATTTATTTTTATACTTATTTATAAAGTTTAAAGCTTAAAAAATAGTGTATATCAATAGATCTATGAAAACTTGAAAATCTTGAAAATTGACGATAAAAAAATGTGTTACAAAATATACTATTCTCAAAATTTGAAATCTATTTTTTTTTTCATGTTCATGTATCTTGATGTCGAGATGATCAATTTGAAGATATTTAGGCATCAAAACAACCTCTTCTAATAAATTTTTTGATATGGGCTTAAATTTGATTGTTTAGAGCCTCGGCTCTATATAAATTTTTCCCTTATTAATCATGATATAAGTTTTACATGTATTTTTGGTCATGGATTGTATATTATAAAACTATTCATATTTTATATAAAGAGATCGCAATTATTTTTAACCATTGTGAAATTCAATAAAAAACAATTGTCTCAACATTCAAAAAAGTTTATTTTGAATTTTGTGTCCAAACTTTTGATGCATCTTCAATTACTTGATTCCAAATTTACCGGTCAATGATCATTATGACCTCTTTGTATTGTATATATTTCCTTTACATGATAAAATTATTCTAAAAAAAAAAGAAAAATATTAATAGTTAATTAATTAAAAATTAATATTCATTAATTAATAGGCAATTTAAGATGAAGAAGGCCATGTTCCTCCGTATTTATAACTCCAATGCTTGTGAGATGCCTCCAAATGTGCATGGAAGAGAAACATCATCAAACAGCAAAGGCCAGAGCAACTAAGCCGGTTTGCCGCCTCTCTCTCTTTCTATCTCTAAAACCTCTCTCTCTCTCTCTCATATTTAAACCGTCTCCTGTAAATTCTCTCCGAAGCATTTGTCTTTACACAACTGTTTCCTCTCTCTAAATCCTCTGCTTTCTCTTTGTTAAAAACACAACACAACAGTTTTGTCTCTCTAAATCCTTTGCTTTATCTTTGTTAACAAGCGTCATCTGGAGCAAACCCTACACCATCAACTTCCTTGCCTTACTTGGGTCGCCCTTCATTTACAAAATGGTTCCTCACAAGTGAAGAAAACTCTCTCTCTCTCTCATGGCGCTTACACATCCCCAAAGGATCACATTCGCATTCCATTCTTGAGAATGGGTCTTTCCATCCAAAATCAATTCTACTTCCTCTGCGTGGTCCCATTTTCAGTTGAATAAAGCCTATTTCTTCTCCTTTCTCCCATCAATCCCCCATTATATCCTGAGAAGGTAAAAAAAGAGAGAGAAAGCTTTTGCTTTTGATTTCGTCCTTATCTCTTTGAGGTTCATGTGCACATGCTAAGTCTTTTGAATCTGAAAAAGGAGCTTTCCGTTCTCAGGTTTCGATTTTCGTTTTTTTTTTTTGGAGAATTTATAAGTACGAAGGTGTTTTGCTCGTTACTGAGTCAGATTTCAGAAATACTGAAAAGTAAAGTTTTTGGGTTATTGGGTCCTGTTGATTTTTAATTCATAATCGAACCCCACTTGTGTTCTCAACCAGAAAAAGGAGGCTCCCTGTTTTCCATTTGGTTTCAATTTCCATAAAAAATAAAGGCAAATTTTGTCCTGAATCGAAAACAGGAGGGTCTTTTATTTACCAGGATGGTTATCAAGGTGTGCGTGTGAGTGAGTGTGTGTGTGTGTGTGTGTGTGTGAGAGAGAGAGAGAGAGAGAGAGAGAGAGAGAGAGAGAGAGAGAGAGAGAGAGAGAGAGAGAGAGAGAGAGAGAGAGAGTAG